ACTTTGACCTGAGCTTTTGGTATTCTAATGGTGGTGGGTTAATCCTATTATGTCCTAAGGGTCATGTTCTATCCTTGGGAGTCTTTGTTTTTCTACTCCCATCAGCTCCATGCTCCCGAGTCTTCCTGAATGAATCACCAAATCTGCATTTCTAAAAGCTGGTTTCTGCTTGAGGCAGAGAGACTTTGGGAGGGGGGGGGGGTCTGCCTAAGATTTTTCTATTATTCCTTTGGGGAAATATATTCTGCCTTTTTTTAATATTCCCCCAAAATATTTCCTTCATGTGTGTGTGTGTGTGTGTGTGTGTGTGTGTGTGTGTGTGTGTGTGTGTGCTGACTTCCTACAGAAAGTTGAGGAGTTCATGGCTTAAAGAAGCAGAGGGCAATAAGGTTGAGAAAGCTTCTGAAAACCTTCCAAATGGTAGTGTTCAAAGGATGTGATTCATAGACAAGCTGTGGATCACATATCTGTCACAGGAGGATTGGGCAGTGAGAAGGCCATCTCTCACCCAAGGCAAGGGGGAATGGAGGAAACAGAGAGGAGAGGGTGGATTTCAAGCAAAAACAAAGAAAAAGGCACACCCCAGGAAAATAAATGAAATACAAGCACAAAAGTTCTTCGTGGGAATCTGGGGGGGGGGAATAAATTTCATATGCAACTTCATAAATGGATGGCATGTTAACTATAAATAATCTGTTTTATTTGACTGTACCATTTCTCAACTTTGATTCTCTTGGCAGCCTGCAAAACGATATGGAAATATATACTCCATGTGGATTGGACCTCACATTCTAGTAGTGCTGTCTGGATTCAAAACTGTGAAAGAAGTAATGACCAGCTTCCCACGGGAATTATCTGATCAACCAGAGAATGCTTACTTGACTGCTATAGGGAAAAAAAGGGGTAAGTGCAAATAGTAAGGGATTGTATCTAAACCATCACACTGTTACCATTTGTGTGAATAATATGCATAACATGGGGTAGGGAAAAAAAGTAAGGGATAGTTAACAAAATGATTTAAAGTCCTGAGCTAAGTGAAATAAATATTGCTATAATCCAGTTTACACCAAATTACTATACTGTATGTCTCAGTTGCATTTTTATGTTGTCCATTACATTCATACATTGACTTAGACATCACTTCTCTTTCACTACCTGCTTCTTTTCAGGTTCTCATCATCTCCATTCTACAAAACTTTCTCAATCTTCCCTTACCTCTTCAGTCCTTTCCTTGGTTTCATATTTTGCCTCTTTTTTTTTTTCAAATTTTGCCTAGCCCGAATCTTACAAGGTAGCAACATTGCACAAAGGTTTGGTATTCCCACCTGAAATTGAGCAAGATGTTTGTCAAGAACTAGACCTTTTTTTAAAAAAAGATGAATGTCCTCATTTATCATTGTCTGCTGATGCCTTCAGGCATTATTTTCTCCAATGGCCACACCTGGAAACAGCAGCGGCACATCGGCCTCACTTCTCTGCGGAAGCTGGGCCTGGGGAAGAAAAGCATTGAGCACCAAATAGAAGACGCAGCTCAGACACTGATAGAGGCCTTTAGACAGACAAAAGGTATGCAGTTTGGGCTAATCATTCAAGTCTCTGTCTTGAGAATTTTTTTTCATTCTGTGTATTTCGAACAAGAACAGATGTATTTGATACATTTTTTTAAAAAAAAATTGAACCAATTGATTCCCAATTCTCTTTTCTCATCCCCTTAGAAATCCTGTTCTTTAATAATGGACTATGAAATTCCTTCATTTGCAGGACAGCCATTTGACCCTTCACTTCCAGTAACACATGCAGCTTCTAATGCCATATGTGCTTTGAGTTTTGGACATCAGTTTCATCCTCAAGACGAAAACTTCCAGAAGCTAATTCAAGCCTTTCATATTATTCTGAACTTCACTAGTTGCCTTTTTCATATTGTGAGTCATGTTTTCTATTAAAGAGATGAAACTGTTCCCATCAGTATTTTCATGTAATCATGAATGGAATCCATTCGGGAAGCCTTGGAATTCATCTATTGTACTATTATCCCCAGTAGCCAAAACATGTCTTTGCCATTTTCTTGATGAGATTTTGGAAGTGGTATGCAATTGCCCACTTCCTAGAGCTGTCACTCTATTGACTTAGTCCTTGACTTGGGATTAGTACTCAAAATATCTCCGTTTCTAGATTGCTGTATTAACCACTGCACCAAAGTGGTTCTGCCCATGAAGTAATCCATTATTTCAGTATCCCCAGCAGATGGCTGTCCATCCCATGTTTAAAGAGTTCTAGAAAAGATGATCCACCACTTCCTGGGTCAGTCTGTCATTGAACAGTTCTTTCAAATGTTTCCTAATACCAAATCAACATCTGCTTCATTATGATTTAAGCCCATTGCTTCCATGCAGAAATTATTTTGCTGCAGCCACCAAAAAAGCCAACGCAGTCCTAGGCTGCATTAACAGAGGGATAGAATAAAGATCAGATGAAGGGTTAGTACTGGTTTATAAGGCCTTGATAAGATGACACTTGGAACATTGGATCCAGTTTTGGTTGCCACAATAGAAAAAAGATCTTGAGACTCTGGAAAGAGAGGAGAGAAGAGCAACAACGATGATTAGGGGGCAGGAGAGTAAAACATATGAAGAACAGCTGCAGGAACTGGTTATATCTAAGGGGTTGCCCCAAAGAAGAGGGATTCAACCTATTCTTCAAAGTGGGGAATAAATAAACAAACTTTTTCTTTTCCATTTCTATTAGATATTTATTATGTTCCCATGATTAATGAGCTACTTCCCAGGCCCTAACCAGAACGTCTTGGCTTCGGTACAGATGATCAATTCCTTTGCAAAGCAGGAAATAGAGAAACACAAGGAATCCAGCTGTCTGCATGAGCCACAAGATTTCATTGATCACTATCTTCTTCAGATGGAGAAGGTATGGGTTTATTGTAGTTCAATACATAAGCAAGGAATTATTACATTCCTGGCTATAAGTAAAGAAGAGATACTGGTATTGTCTTCCTTGGCGTTATTTCTTTTTCATTCAATTCCCAGTCTGAAATTTTTTCCCATACTAATTTCCGGTTGCTTCTAAATAAGGACTATATTGTATCTCTGCAATATTAGACTCTTGTTATACATGGGAGGTTCCTTGGGAAAGTTAGAAATGTTTCTGTTTGTTATCCTGCAATGTTTGCCTACCACTCCTTTCCCCCTTTTTATAGCAATAGCACTTAGACTTATATACTGCTGCACGGTACTTTAGAACTCTCTCTAAGGCAGTGATGGCAAACGTTTTAGAGACCGAGTGCCCAAACTGCAACCTAATACCCACTTATTTATCGCCGGATGCCAGATGGGCATGGCCCACTGGGTGGGTGTGGCTGTGGTGGTCATGGCAGATTGGGTGTGGCCAAGGTGGGCATGATTACCTCAATGTTGCTCGTGGGGAGGGATGTCTGTGGGGGTCTCTGGCAGGTGGGACGGTGGGCAGGAGGCTCGTCCTGCGGGGCAAGGCGAGGCAGGGCGGGGGTGCCATTGTCACAGGGCAAGGTGAGGCAGGGGCTGGGGTGGCTGCTGCCTGACACCATCGGCCCCTGCACACAGAGGCCAGCAAGCGCATGGGTGCTGAGATGCATCCGGCCATGTGGGACCTCAGCGAGTTAGCGGGCGACTGGTTGAAGAGGAACGGTTGCCATCTCTGGGGCATGGCGCATGTGCCCACAGAGAGGGCTCTGAGTGCCACCTCTGGCATGCCTGCCATAGGTTCACCACCACTGCTCTAAGGGTTTACAGAGTCAGCCTATTGCCCCCAACAATCTGGCTCCTCATTTCACCGACCTCAGAAGGATGGAAGGCTGAGTCAATTGTGAGCCAGTCAGAATCGAAATCCTAGCAATGAGAAGTGAGTTAGCTGCAGTACTGCATTCTACTGCATTCTGTTCCCATTTTGGGGAATATTATTGTAGGCATGTACACTGAAGGTAACTCTGCTCCTCAGTTAAGTTTCTGTCTTTGACATGGAGATGATGAGAATCCAGGGCTTTTTCCTTGGCATAGAACTAGTTGGACTAAACTACTCCTAAGACTGGCTACAAGGGAGGGCTAACCACTTGTAGCTACTCCTAGTTTACTCTCTACTGCCTCTCCTTGACCTGCCATGTCCAGGGTCCTTGATGGAAGAGGGAACTGGTGCTAAACTGATGATCAAGAATGTAAAGTGAACCCAGTGTGGAGGATGTGTGACATTTTTAAGAAAAAATTGTCACAAATTTGTCACAGGCAAAGCATTTTTGGCTGCAGCTCCTCTCTTTGCTCTTGGCTACTTTAAGATAAGGTCTTAGTGTGAACCTGTGACTTTAATTGTTACTAACCTGCATTGATTTTCCTGTATAACCACAGGAGCATATTTATTCTAAAGACTTGTGGCTCAGAGGGAAAAGTAATAAAAAAAACTGCATAGAATTATTGTAATTTTCATTTTCCATTTTAAACATTAGAGCAGGAATAACCCCAACTCTACCTACAATGAAGAGAACCTGGCACAGTGTATTTTTGATTTTTTTGGTGCTGGAACAGAGACAGTCTTCACTACTCTGATGTGGGCACTGCTACTCTTGACAAACCATCCTGACATCCAAGGTGAGAGAAATCTAGGCTGGTGGAAGAAGGGCCGGTCTCAGATTCTATAATACACAGAAATTATTTGAAATACTAAGATATTGAACGAGGAACTGAATCTATTCTTCATAATAATTTTCCTATGTAGATTCTTGCCCCTATAAGCAGGGGCATGAACTTAGCAGGATTAAAGGAAAGCCAGGAATGTACAAACAGAGAGCCTTCTTTGGATTCTCAATAAAACGTTGAGTGAGAAACTAAAAATTGGAATCAGTACAAATCTGAAATATTTAACACATTCATTGCAGAAATCTACCATGTTTTTCAGATTTCCTACTTGTTTTTGGCCTAAATTGCATATAGAGGACCAAATTTCAGAATGATAATAAATGTAGAAAAAAACCCCAAGATGGCGGGAGCAAGCATGCACAACACAAGGCTCTCTGCCATGAAGGGAAGAGATGGGGAAATTGGGGTGTGTGTGTGCTACCACTTGGATCAGCAAATGAAGCCCTCAGTCTTCTCCTTAATCCTACCGTCTTCCTGCTCTGCTACTGCTGGGTCTGCTCCTTGACCGGAGACCAGAGGCTGAAGAGACCAAGCTGGAATGGCGTGGCAAAGACAGGGGATTGCTCTGGATTCATGAGCCAACTGAAACTTGTACTTTTATCCTGCCAACCAGTGCAGACCCCTGGCCACAGATTTAGGGTGGAGGGGAAGAGCCAATCTAGGGCCATTGTCTGCAGCACTGAGGGACCCAACTGGGAGAACAGACTGCACATCGTCGTAAAATATTGGAAGTACCAAGATGTTAAAAGTACTAACTGGTATGATCATGTTGCCTGGGGAATGCTCATTTGGGGATTCCTTTCATGTCCCCTAAATGAGCCCACCAAAGTGGTACCTATTTATCTTCTCACATTTGCAAGCTTTCAAACTGCTAGGTCAGCAGGAGTTGGAGCAAGTGTCAGGAGCTCACCCAACCACAGAGCAGCCCTCAGGTCTCAAACGAGAGCTTGCAGATTGTCAGCCCAGCATTCTAGCCATGTGAACCACCATGCTCCTATGAGACTGGTGGGAAGTAGAGAGGTGGCCTTGAGTCTGACCCCGTGCCAGTCTGAAAGGGTTGAAGGGCTGGAAGCCATGCCAAAGAGTGTGTGTTAAGGGTGGAAGGCTGGTGGAGGTATAGTGAAGGGCCAGATGATGGGTAGGAATATAAATAGGTGCCAGGCATAGGCTTTGGAAGCAGATTAGGTGTTCATGGCCATCACAGCAGTCTTCTGAGGTTATCCATGGCCCAACCCAGGACAATGGACACACTCAAGATATGATCTTCTTGTCAAAACAGTGGCAATGTGATCTGCTCTGGGAGTTATCATTATTCCCTCTGTCATGGTCAGACTACAAAGTGGTGTCCTTGAGATTTTCCAACACTGCCCCCTCTGCAGGGAGGCTGGACCTATTCACATAGTTCCTTCTTGATGACTGATGGACCATTCAGATTCCAGAAGGAGCTGTGGGATTGTCCTGGGGGATCTGCTGTGTGGTCCTTTGGAGGCTCTGGCCACAGCCTGGAATCAGAAAACTGCTGGAGCCATGGACAGGATTGTGCCCATGTGCCCTCTCTTGGCCCATCACTTCCTACACTCCAGTGGGTTATGAAGGAGTTGAGGATGTTGAAAATGGCCAAGAAACAAATGCCATTGGAGGAATACAAAAAATGCATATGACTGGACATAGCCCTGAGTTGCCATTAAGTCCTTACCTCGTGGTGCTAAGAGCAACAAAATGCCACACCACTGCGGGGGGGAGGGGGTATTGCTAGCACCATTTAAAGAGGCCTTGATCTGACTCTTCCTTAAGTCTCCTTCACTGAAACACACCTATCTTGACAATTTCCGTCCAGTTTGCCATCTCCCCTTTTCAGTGAAGGGGAAAGTAGTGGAAAAAATGGTTGCACTGTAGGTCCAGAGGGTCCTGGATGAAATGGATTATCTGGACTCCTTTCAGTCAGGTTTCAGGCCTAGTTATGGGACAGAGACAGCATCATCAATTTTGCCACAATACTCTACTTTGTATCTACATCCCATTGACCTAAGTGATGCTGTAGCTACCCTCTTGCAGTGCCTGAACACAGGGGTCTGGATGAGGGACAACAGGCTTCAGCTTAACCCTGGTAGAACATAGAATAACAGAGTTGAAAGGAACCTTGCTCAAGCAGAAGACCTATACTATTCCAGGCAAGTGGCTGTCCAATTTTTTCTTAGAAGCCTCCAGTGATGGAGCACCCACAACTTCTGAATGCAAGTTGTTCCATTGGTTGATTGCTTTCATTGTTAGGAAATTTCTTCTTAGTTCTAGGTTGCTTCTCTCATTGGAGCTACCCTTGTAGAGTATTCGTAAGCTACAGCTGGTAGCAAACACAGTGGTGCAGCTACTTCTAGAGACCCCTTGGGTGGCACATATAACACCACTGTTACATGAGCTGCACTGGTTGCTAGTTTGGTTCTAGGTCCAATTCAAGGTGTTGGTCATTATCTTTAAAGCCCTTTATGGAGTGCATCTAGGGTATCTGAGGAGCTGTCTCACTCCAATGTGACAAGACCATCCCAATTTTTCCAGCAGAGGAGACCTACTTTGGATACTGACTGCTAAAGGATTTCAGTTGGCAGTGTTCAGGAGAAGAGGTTATTCTGCTGTGGCCCCCACTGTCTAGAACAAGGGTGTCAAACTCGCAATGTCACGTGATGTGTTGCAACGTATCACAACTTTTTTTCCATAGCCGGCAATGGGGTGGGCACAGTTTCGGCATGACGCATCCGGGCTGCGGGCCAGCAGTTTGACACCCCTGGTCTAGAAGGTTCTCCTTCTGGAGGTGAGGTCCACCCTTACCCTGTGGGTCTTCAGGAAAAGTCTTAAAACTTGGCTCTGATAGAGGTGCGCTATTATGGGAGTGACTGGAAGGGTAGAGAGAAGATCCTTATCTCCCTGTTACCCATCCTCTTGGTTTTTAGTTTATTTAATCTTCCTTATTTTAATAGTTCTGTATTATCTTTTTTACTTTTTTTATAATATTGTTAGCCCCCTCCCTCGAGTCACTGTAACAGTGAGATGGATTGTATATAATTTTAATCACTTAAAACAATAATAAACATAAATAAACAAAAGGGTGCTTTGCAAAAATTTGATCCACATTATTTTCAAGACAATTATAGAACTTTTTTTTAAACTGAATCAGGTTTCCAAACTGGTTTAGGACTGACTTCTGGAGGTGGACTAGATTGAAGAAGATTCAGTGGAATATTTGAACTTGAATCAACAGCTTGCATCAATATTCTGCACCTGTTTGGACTGGATATGATAAGAGCCCAGGAAACACATTTTTAATCTGCTCTCCCTCATAATATTTTTAAAAAGGATGGGATTACATTTAATGCCCTAAAGCAGGGGAAGTCAACCTTGGCTCTTTTATGACTCGTGGACTTCAATTCCCAGAATTCCTGAGCCAGCTTAGCTGGCTCAGGAATTCTGGGAGTTGAAGTCCATGAGTCATAAAAGAGCCAAGGTTGACTACCCCTGCCCTAAAGGCTATTCTATATCTTAAAGTTCTGTTAAGGATTAAAATTTGGAAACAAATAAAGGAAACACAATATTGAAAATGAAGCTTCTATTTCCGTCAAAAAAATTTTCTAGAAAAAGTCCAGAAAGAGATTGAAGATGTGTTTGGCTTGTCACGGCCAATTTCCTATCAGGATCTTGCTAGTTGGGGGACCCAGGCAAAATACAAAGGATATGAAGATGAAGGGTTACCACGTTCCAAAGGTGAAAAATGCTAAGAACAGCCACTGCTTTCAGAAAACTGCTTTACAAATGAACTAATACGGGTCCACAAAGGCAAAATAAAACCAAATGTTTCATCAATATTGTTTGAACTTTTTTTGCCTGTTTCCCTTATGAAACTACTCTATTTCATCATTTCTATTTTTACAGGGAAGCTTTATTATCCCAGACATGCGCTCTGTTCTTCTTGACCCTGAACAATGGGAGACACCTGAAGAATTCAACCCAAATCACTTTTTAGATAAGGATGGGAAGTTCACTGAACGAGAAGCGTTTCTGCCCTTCGGAATAGGTACATCCATGAGCCCAAAGCAGTTTATCACATATAGATTCCTGTCACCCCCATCACTGTGTTATTCTGAAGTTGTCATGGACTGAATAGAAAATCCATGAATCTCTATTCCTTCTACTTTCAAAACCATGAGAGTCTGAAATTCCTCCTAGGCTATAAAGTTTAAACTACAAAGAAATGCTAGTTATATTGTAATCAACAGAGCTTTGTAAGATCTACAAGATTGCACAGTTATCTCTGTTATTTGGGGGAGAATTATTAGCTAAATCCAAAGAAAACAAGCTTAGTTTTAGCTTCTTAATGATGGATCTGGACTACAAAAGTTTGGTCCTAGATCAGGGGTGTCAAACTCAATTTCATTGAGGGCCGCATCAGCATTGCGGTTGCCCTCAGGCGGCTGGGTGGGTGTGGCCAGGGTGGGTGCGGCCTACTGGGTGGGCATGGATAGAGTGGGTGTGGCCTACTGGGTGGGCGTGGCCAGCTCTACATCGTTCGCGTCAAGATTGCCTGTGGGGGCCTGGGCAGGAATGGGATAGATCTGAGGATCTCTGGCAGAAGGGGGTGGGACCAGGGCAAGTGCCAAGGAATGGTCCACTGGAGGAGCCTCACTGTTCCTCTCAGGCCATGCGGGGGGAGGGGCTTATGGACCTAAGACTGAATGCGTTTCAGCATAGATGGCCACCACAAAATTGTACATTGGCTCCCGGCCGGCCTGGGCCAGGACCAAGGCAGTGGGGGCCGTTCCCTCCTTGTTTCCAGGATGGCTTCACGGGCCACATGAAACCACTTCGCGGGCCGCATCTGGCCCCCGGGACTTGTGTTTGACATGTCTGTCCTAGATGGATTAAGCTCAGCCTTTTTAATGGCTGCAGAGCCCCCCCTACAACAATGGTTTCATCCTGTCTGATAGAATAGAATCAGAATCAGAATAACAGAGTTGGAAGGTACCTTGTAGGTTATCTTGTCCAATCCCCACCCAAGCAGGACGCCCTACGGCCTACACCATTTCTGACAGATGGCAGTCCACTCTCTTTTTGAAAGCTTCCAGTGATGAAACTGTCACAACATCTGAAGGCAAACTCTTCCATTGGTTGATTGTTCTCACTGTCAGAATTTTCTCCTTATTTCTAGGTTGAATCTCTCCTTGATCAGTTTCCATCCATTATTACTTGTCTGACCTTCAGGTGCTTTGGAAAATAGGTTGATCCCCTCCTCTCTGTGACAGCCCTTCAGATATTGGAACACTGCTATTATGTCTCTCCTGGTCCTTCTCTGCACTAGACTAGCCATGCCTAGTTCTTGTAACCATTCTTCATATATTTTAGCCTCCAGTCCCCTAATTATCTTTGTTGCTCTTCTCTGTACTTTTTCTAGAGTCTCAACATCTATTTTATAGTGTGGAGACCAAAACTGGTTGCAGTATTCTAGTGGTCTTACTAAGGCTTTATAGAGTGGTATTAGTACCTCATGTGTTCTTGATTGAAACCCTCTGTTAATGCAATTTAGCATTGCATTGGCTTTTTGGGCTACCGCCGCACACTGTTGACTCATATTTAATTGATTGTCCAGTAAGACTCCATGATCCCTCTCACAGTTACTGCTGTTAAGCCTGATTTCACCCAATCTACATGTGTACTTTTGGTTTTTCTTGCCTAAGTGTAAGACTTTACTTTTCTCTACATTGAATTTCATTTTGTTAGATTGGGCCCAGTGTTCAAGTGTGTCAAGATTCATCTGGATCTTGAGCCTATCATATAGGTTGTTGGCTATTCCTGCCAGCTTAGTATCACCAGCAAATTTGATAAGTTCCCCTTCTATTCCCTCATCTAAGACTTTTATGAAGATGTTGAAGTGTATTGGACCTAGGACACAACCTTGTGGTACCCCACTGTTTACTTCCCTCCATGTAGTCGTAGTACCATTAAGGACTACTCATTGAATACAGTTTGTCAGCCAGTTGAAAATCCGTCTGATGTTGATGTTGTCTATCCCACTTTTTTTTTAGCTTTTCAAAAAGTAGGTTGTGGTCTACTTTGTAGAATGGCTTGCTGAAGTCTAGGTATACTATGTCCACAGCAGTTTTTTTGGTCTACTAATTTAATTACTTGGTCAAAAAATAAAATAAACTTGGTTTGGAATGATCTGTTTTTAAGAAACCTGTGCTGTCTTCTGATTATAACAGATCTGGGTTTTTTATTATCTTTTCCAGTATCTTTCCAGGTATTGATGTTAGGCTGATTGTTTTCACCCTGTCTGATAGAATAGAATAGAATAGAATAGAATAGAATAGAATAGAATAGAATAGAATTCTTTATTGGGCAAGTGTGATTGGACACACAAGGAATTTGTCTTTAGTGCATAAAGTTTCAGTGTACATAAAGCTATAAGTGATAAATCATGATCATAGTCATCTTAAAAATACATTCATCATAAATCACAAGATACAACACTTAGTAATAGTCATAGGACACTAAATAAGTAATCAACATAAATCATACTAGAAAACTAAATAAAACAATATAAATCTTAAGATACAAGCAACATTTATTTATTTAAATAATAAATAAATAAATAATAAACAAAGTTATAGTCATAAGAAGATAAGGAAATAGGAAATATGAGAAGAATAATAGGCCTTACTAAACAGTTTGACAGTGTTGTGGGAATTAGTTATTTAGCAGAGTGATGGCATGGGGAAAAAAACTGTCCTTGTGTCTAGTTGTTCTGGTGTGCTATGCCCTATAGTGTCGTTTTGAGGGTAGAAGTTGAAACATTTTATGTCCAGGATGTGAGAAGTCTGTAGATATTTTCATAGCCTTCTTTTTGACTTGTGCACTTTACAGGTCCTCAGTGGAAGGCACTGCTTAGATACCAATGAATCTTTCTCCATTGCTGGTGCTGATAGCAAAGGGCATAAAAGTTATGGTAGATATGAAAAGCTATTGTTGTCCCCAAAATCTCAGGTCCTTTTACCTGACATGCAGGCCCAATGAACCCCACCAGTCTGGTGGAAAGGGGAAAAAACCCCTTCTATTTGTAAATAAAAGGTCTATCCAGAAGCAAGTTCCAAATGGGCATACCTCTGGAGTGGACCCCCCTTTACACAATTTTGAAAAGCATGCATTGCCATGATGTCAATCGTGGAAATACATAAAACAATAATTAAAAGCAGCATCTTGTATACATCTTCAGAGCCATAGTAAGACGGTTTTAATTAATCAATATGTCATCCATCTTATACTAAAATGAGTTTGGGTGGTTTAGTTCAGCTATAGCTTGAACCGTGGTGGCACAGTGGTTAGAATGCAGTATGGCAAGCAAACCCAGCCCACAGCCAGCTGTTTGTCCCTGACCCGCTCACGTTTGACTCAGCCTTCCATCGTTTTGAGGTCAGTAAAATGATTGTTCGGGGCAACATGCTGACATTGTAAATTGCGCCCAGAGTGCAGTAAAGCCCTATGGAGTGAAATATAACTCTAACTGCTATTGCTATTGCTAAAGGTTACCAGTTAAAGGTTACAAGNTCAATACTGAAACTTTTTTAATCTATTGCTGGGTTCACATAACATACCAAGCAAGGTCAACCAAAGAATAAGAGGATGTGTGTGAAAAATGTGCTAACTAAACTTATCAAGCTTTATCTTTGTTTCCTTTTGGATGCCAATAAAACATATTATTTTCCATTCTTAGTATCCATTTTCATTTTTAATACATTTCTCCTATGGACTTCACATTCTTCAGCCAGAGCAAAATTCATAGATAGACCAAAATGATGCTATGCTTGAAGAATTGAAATAATGCTGAGAGAACTAAAGAAAGAAGAAAGAGTGTAACTCCCATCCACATCCACATCCCAGGGCAGAACATCCACAAGAACATTTTTTCATCCCACACTTAGAGCTGAACCTAAACTGGATCTAATTCTGTGCTTCATCTGAAGCCCTCTACAGCCTAAACACTTTCTCTACAACCTTCCCCAAATAATTTTGCCAGACTGACAACAGTTTGTTTACTGATCGTTCAAAGTTACAACGGCACCGAAAAATGACCTGTGATCATTTTTTCACAGTTATGCAGCATCCCCATGATCACGTGATCAACGTTCAGATGCTTGGCAGAGGGTTCATGTTTATGATCATTGTTGTGTCCCAAAATCATGTGATCACCTTTTGTGATCTTCTGACCAAGCAATGGGGAAGCCAGATTCACTTTACAATCTAATTAACTAACTCAGGGGTTGTCAACCTTGGCTCTTTTATGACTTGTGGACTTCAACTCCCAGAATTCCTGAGCCAGATAAGCTGGCTCAGGAATTCTGGGAATTGAAGTCCACGAGTCATAAAAGAGCCAAGGTTGACTACCCCTGCCCTAAAGGCTATTCTATATCTTAAAGTTCTGTTAAGGATTAAAATTTGGAAACAAATAAAGGAAACACAATATTGAAAATGAAGCTTCTATTTCTGTCAATTTTTTTTTCTAGAAAAAGTCCAGAAAGAGATTGAAGATGTGTTTGGCTTGTCACGGCCAATTTCGTATCAGGATCAGAAGAAGCTGCCCTACACCAATGCCATGATTCATGAAGCTGGCTCAGGAATTCTGGGAATTGAAGTCCATGAGTCATAAAAGAGCCAAGGTTGACTACCCCTGAACTAACTTATCAACTGCAGTGATTCACTTAATAACTTAGGCAAGAAAAGTCGTAAAATGGGGCAAAACTCATTTAGCAATTTTCTCATGTCTCACTTAACAACAGAAACTTCAGGCTCAATTGTCGTAAATTGAGGACTACCCGTATTACTAGAGTTCTGCCAGTTTCTGGCAATTCCTCTCCCAGAATTCTTATTCAAAATCTTCCTCTGAATCAATGCAAGGAAAGAGGCCCCTTGGGGTTAATCCTGCCTGGTCCCTTTGTTATCCACGTATTCTGGAGACTGAGTAGATTGCAAGTAGAAGGACCTGCTGGGCTTGTGGGACATTTCCTCAAGTGCCTCTTGGAAATCAGTTGGATCTGGTTCGATGCAATCGAAACAGGGAGCTGGATCCTAGCAGCGAGCTTCCTGGAATATGGAAAGTGATCTCACCATGAGTGATGTGAATGTCTTCAGATCACATGTTAGCTAAGAAAAAATACCCAGACCAAGTATGTGTTGCTCTCCGTGTGAGTGAGCATCATAATAACTTTTTGTTTTTGTCTTCGTAGCCGTGAATTTTTACTTTGCCTGGGAACCCCAGCTAGAAAGACATATTTTACACGCTGCATTTCATGAATCACAGCATCGGTGTAAGGCAGTTTCTTCCAATCCTGATAGAAAATTGTCCCTGAGAAGCCAAACACATCTTCAATCTCTTTCTGGACTTTCTCGAGGAAAAAAAATGATGGAAATAGAAACTTTATTTTATTCATTCAAGCCTGTTGCCCCCAATGTTCTTCAGAGGATCCGGCTTTTTCCTTCAAGTTATTGCCAGTTTCTGGGCTCCAATTCCAGATTTGCAGCCCCAGTTGGACCTCCGATGGCAGTTGCCATCTCATTGGCCTTTATGCCACTACTTGCACCAGACCACCTTACAGAGAGCTCCAAATCCATGTCTGATCTCTGAGCACTACACTACTGCCACTGGTCTCTGATCTGGGCCACGTACGTCACTGCCAAGGCCCCCATTGACTCTCTGAGCCAGTTTTTGCTTCCAGTCCCCACCACTTTCTGGGCTGCAGGTCTGACTCCAAGCTGGCTCTTCACTCATGCTCACATGCTCACAATGGAAAGTTCAAAGATTTTTATTCAAACCCCCCAACAGTTTCAGCATTAATTCAAATGAGCTGGCCAGGTTACGAAGCTTGGCACAAGATGAACTCTTGACAAGATTCAGTCCAAAAAATGCCAAACCAAAGAAGAGGGAGTGAAGCTATTTTCCAAAGTGCCTGAAGGCAGGACAAGAAGCAACAGATGGAAACTAATCAAGGAGAGAAGCAACCTAGAACTAAGGAGAAACTTTCTGACAGTTAGAACAATTAACCATGCAACACCGGCCTCCAGAAGCGGTGAATGCTCCAACACTGGAAGTTTTTAAGAAGAGACTGGACAGCCATTTGTCTGAAATGATATAGGGTTTCCTGCCTGAGCACGGGGTTGGACTAAATGACCTACAAGGTCCCTTCCAACTTTATGATGATGATGATGATGATGATGATGATGAAGATGAAGATGATGATGATGATGATGATGATGATGATGATGATGATGATGATGTCCAAAGCCAGTCCTAAATCAATACATGCAGTCAAGATGCAAAGAACAGGAACACGAGGCAAGAAACTGGATACAGGGTCTCTTCGTTGTAGGTAGAGTTGGGGTCATTCCTGCTCTGATGTTTAAAATGGAAAATAAAAATTATAATAAATTCTATCCAACTTTTCTGTAGTTATTCTTGCTCCTGTATCTCAAGTCCTGGGGGGATTATAGGAATATCAATGCAGGAGGGTAATAATTAAAGTGGTAGATTCACACTAAGAAATTAACTTAAAATAGCCAAGACCAAATTCAGGCTCAGCTTTTGAAAAACTTTAATGCATTTTATTTTAATTTATACTTGATTTACCTCAGTAAATGTCTGCATGTGGAACAGTGATTAATCTGTACTTACTAGAGTGAATTACAAAAATTCAGAAGCAACATTATTCGAACTACAGTATTCAAGCATACATTTAAAGTTATGCCCAAATTGATGTATATGACTGCTCTAACTACCAGATTTTGTGGCTATTATGCCATACCATGACAGTTTATGCAATTTCTAGAATACAGGTAGTCCTCGACTTACAATCATTCATTTGGTGTTTGTTCAAAGTTTCAATGGCACTGAAAAAGTAACTTATAACAGGTTTTCATTCTATTGCAGCATCCCCATGGTCACATAATCCAAACACGATGCTTTGCATATAGAAATTCCATTAAGAAAGAAAAGAATTAACGGGGACTTTGATTAATTCATACTTAAATGAATACTTTACCTGAAATATTCGGTAAAGGACAGATACTGTTAGCATATTGAATTCAGTAGCTGGAACAGTAAAGTGTACAATAGACCTGAACACACAGTTGTAGTTGTTTAGTTAGAGAATTATGACTCATGCATAAGCCAATCTACGCTATGATTGGTTGCTGTAAGTATAAAGAGGGAGTTTCCCTTTTTCCCCGCCTTTTTCTTCTGTGTGTTCTGTATACTGTTTAATTTACCTCATGATGTTCCTGTGTTCTTGACTATCTTATCTTTTTTTCTGTCTGGATGATGTTGAATGTTAAATATATTTATATACTGTATATAAAAGACTACACATTCGTATTAGCATCTCTGACTTCATCTGGACAGCTGTTATGCAATTCGCTGTTATTTTTATAGCCTTGACCATCAATAAAAATGTAAAATAGTTTGAAATAAGGAAAAAAAGTCCTCCCCTCCAATGTTTTCAGAAAAAGGTTGATTTTTTTTCTAGAAGCAACTTTTATTAATTTGAAATTACTTTGCACTGGGTCACTTTATTTACAATATGACATCATCAGTCTTGAGTGTAGCATTGGTCTGGTTACCACATTCAAGATATACAATCTTCTTAATACAGGCACTCATTCCTAAACCACTAAGACAGGTTTTCCACCCTCGTATTAATGGTTCAAAGGCTTCATGTTCTACTATCTACCAAGCTATCATCAACATATAATACCACCCATGGGTGTTGTTATTGAAGGATCCTGGTTATAGTGTCCATACTGAGTACAAAGAGCAATGCTGAGAGTTGGATCATTTGTGCATGGGAAAGAAATAGGTCATGTGGTACTTGTTCAAATGCTTTTTCTAGCTCAGTGACTGACATATTTGTGGTGGTTTGCTTCTCAAGATGCTTCTCTATCACTAGACAAATGGCCTGTATTGTGTCAGTTGTCCCACAATTTTTCACAAAGTTGCACTGATTTGTGTAAGTTTAATGTTGTCTGCTGAACCTAAGTTCAGAATTGTAGTCATATCTGGACATGTTTCTTTGTTCATTTCTTGGGACAATCTGATGTGATAAATAGGCACCCAGCTTTCTGTTTTAATGGAAAGGATGGAAGAAGGGAAGCTAAACAGTTGAGCAGCTACTATTGTCTGAAACTGCTCTGGAAATGAACAAATATGGGCCCATAAAGGCAAGCTAAAACCAAATACTTCAGCAATATTGTTTGAACTTTTTTTGCCTTTTTCCTTTATGAAACTATTGTATTTAACCATCTCATTGTTTGTAGGGGACCATTATTTTGCCAAACTTGCCCTCTGTTCTCCTTGATCCTGAACAATGGGAGACACCTGAAGAATTCAATCCAAATCACTTTTTAGATAAGGATGAGAAGTTCATTGAATGGGAAGAGTTTCTGCCATTTGGACTAGGTACACCTATGAGCCTAAAGCAGCTTATAATTTATAGATTCCCATCACCCCCTCACTGAGTTCTGAAGTCATCATGATCTAAATAGAAAATCAAGGAATCTGAATTCCTTCCAGTTTCAAAACTATGAGAGTCTGAACTTCCCCTTAGACTGCAAATGTTGAAATAGAAATAAATGCTACTTTAATTTAGATTGTAATCAGTAGAGCTTTGTAAGACGTGTACAAGTTTGCACAATTTCCCCTGGTATTTGGGAAAGATGTGTTATCTAAATCTAAAGAAAGAGATGTAATTGTACCTTCTTACCATTGGATCTGGACCACAAAGTTATGGTCCTAGATGCATTAAGCCAAAGGCCTGGGCAGTGAGGAAGGCAGTACAACAGCAGTACTCAAAGCTTTCTGTATACTTGATTTCTTATGCAGGGCCACACACACAGCTACCTAAGGATACCACAATGTAAGCATCTTCACATACTTTCTACTTTGCCTGGGAGCCCCAGCTAGAAAGACATATTTTACATGCTGCATTTCATAAATCACAGCATTGGTGTAGAAGAGCTTCCTCTGATCCTGATAGGAAATTGTCCCTGAGAAGCCAAACACGTCTTCAATCTCTTTCTGGACTTCCTTTAGAAAAAAAAATGATGGAAGGTTTATTTTATTCATTCAAGCCTGTTGCCACCAATGTTCTTCAGAGAACCTGGCCTTCTCCTTCAGGTTATTGCTAGTATAACATATTTATGTGCAGCAATATCATCTTGGACAGTCACATCAATGACTCTTTGACAGCTTCTTTGGCCTTTAGATCAGATTGGACTGGGATTTGGATGGAGAATCCACATTGTGAAGACGTTTGAAAATTGGTTAACACAATTGCAAGATAGCATGCTTAGGTAATTTTTCTGGATCCATAGATAGGATCTTCAACCACAATATCTTTTGCATGTTTTCTAGGTGTGTTTGTGGGTGTATCCTTATTGCTGAAAGTGGTGTAGAGTTATCCATCCCCATGATATATTTCAGAAAAGTAGACTGCATCATTTCCAGTAAAGGTCTATTTATATGTTCCCACGGCTCTGTGTCATTAGTGATCATTTGGACTATTTTGCTGTTATATACAGTATCTTTCTGATTGGAAGTAGACAACCCAAATAAGTATAGTTGATGAGCTGACCTATGACATTGGAACATGTTGTAGCCCTTCTCTTAAAAAGTGGGAGACAAATCTTATTTTCTGTGAAAACTAGTCCTGTGTGTAGGTAGGACTTAACTTGATATGTACATTCCCTATCTAAGCTCCAATTAAACATACTCCACCTCTTCCTCAAAACAATCACTTTAGTTTTGAAGGTATTGATCTTCAGGTCATTGAGTGCACAATATGGACTAAACCTGTGCAGCAATCTTCTCATCCCTACCTGACTACATGATATTAATATTACCTCAACTGCATAGAGCAGAATTTTTATATTTTTAACTTTGGGGTTATGCATATTGATTAAATGGAGGGACCTTGGGATATCATTACTACAGGTAGTCCATAGCTAAGCAAGATAGTTGTTTAGGATGTTTTGCCCCATTTTATGATCTTGAATGAGAGCACTTAGGAATGACCCAAGACAGCTTTTGGACAGCCATGGATGCTCCTTGAAAGGAGAGTTGTGAAGATCCAAGTCCCTGTGGATGCAGTCAGAAAGTCACTGGTCATCCATCTTCCTCTCAGCAGTTCGTTTTCTTAAGAATGCTGGGGTTATAACTTCACTTTTTGAATCTTTTGTTTTACCATGCCTTTTATCTTTATCTGGCTGGCTGAATACTGATTTATTTTAACCTCCTGCTGGACTATATCAATTCTTTTTTTTTCTTTTTCCTTTTGATTTATGTGATTGTTTTAAATAAGGTTTGCTTTTCTGTAAGGAAACACAGCATGCCCTTGGATAGTGAAAGTACTTTGATTGACATGTATATTGAACTCTCACCACAACTCTCATTAATTTTTGAAAATATTTGGGGCTTATTTTTTATTTTTATTTTAACTTTGGATCAAAATATCTAGAAAATATTTTCCCTGCTCCATTATCTATTTCTTCACTTTGCTTCAGCATTTTTTTTGTTTCTTGTGTTCTCTTATCTACCATTGCTAAATTACACAGAGCAACAATGTATCAGATTACAGA